CCAGCACTCGCTAGGCCCCGTTCTGCGGCAGGTGAGTGGCTGTCGTGGGTAAGTGACTGTTCCTCGGCCTTGTTTGCTCCTTGGAGGGTGTAAAGATGGCTTTGGCTTCCGGTCATGTAGCAAGTGGAAACACACATGGAACAGCTTTTCCCCAGTTGCTAGGATGCTCTCTTGGGTTTAGATCTTAGGAGTTTTATTTCTAGAAGTATTTTCCTTCACCCACATTAGAGCAGAAAATGGGAAAACAGTTGTTATAAATCAGATGTTAATGGTTTGATCTCCCTCCCCCCCATCTTCTTTCCATGTTGACCTGATGGACTGAAGAAAATGGGCATCTCTGGGAAGGAGGGAGATGACTGTGACGACGCAGATGATAATAGCCAGCTTTGTGTGTGTGTGTGTGTGTGGGGGGGGGTGTACCCTTTGTCAGGTTCTATGCTGAGAACTTTGCCTGAACTGTCTCATTTAACTGTCATGTCAACCCTGTGAAGTAGGTATTTTTATTCCCATTTTACAAATGAGGTAACAGACCTAGGGAATTGTTCCAGGGGTGCACTGTCAGGCAGTGTTTGAGCTCGGGTGTGGACCCAAACAGCTTGACTCCATAGCTCTTGCTCTTAACCCCTAAATCAGTGGTTCTCAACAGATGGGGGAGGGCAGTTATCTGAGACATTTCTGATTGTCACCATCTGTGAGGCAGACGGAGTGGTGGTGGTAGAAGCATCTTGTGGGTAGAGACCAAGGATGCTGCTAAACATCCTACAGCACACAGGACAGCCCTCAACAAAGAATTATAGGCCCCCAATGTAATGGGGCTGAGATTGACGACCTGCTCTAAGTGATCTCCCAGGAAGGCTTGTTTTCTGTTCAACTGCCAGAAAGTGGAGTTAGTTTACCTTTAACATTAAAACCTACTAAAATCTATCACATGTGGAGGGTGGTGTGATGGCATGATTCAAAGAATCCAACTGCTGTCTGAGAACAGAGAACGTGATCAACATTCTTTGGTGCTGAAAGTAACCCTAACCTCGTGAGAAGGGGACTCCCTACCAGGAGAAGGGTTTTGTCCTGGCCCCATTGTCAAACGCTGTGTGCGTTCACACTCCGTCTTTGCCTATTTCAGATTCGGACCCTGTGGGCGCTAAGTGTCCTTTAAGGAAGGACATTGACCCTTAGCTTTGCTTTTCATGGAAATGCTGTTTGATTGTGGAAACTAACATGTTCTGGACTGTCGAGACCTGTGTGAGAAACCACCTGTTAGAAACTCCTTTCTGACCCCCAGAATCCTGCTGCCACAGTTATGGGAATGACTGTGAAAACCTTGGAGTTTTAAGGGATTCTTTAAACTCAAAAGAGAAAAAAAATGTAAGAAACTGAGATAAGGAAATATGTATAAGAGCTAATTTCTGGGCTGGGCAAATATATCACTTGTTCAACACCTTGAACTTATAGGTACCTGTTTAATTTTTCTCATTTTATTTTTATTTGTTTCAAATTCTACCAAGTAAAGGTTTATTTATATAAATGAAACTCTAGAAAATATTATAAAGGTTAAATTTTATTTTTTTTACTGCAGTAACAACAACAAAAAAACAACCAGAAAATTTCCCATCTTAACCATTTTTAAAGGTACAGTACAGTAAAAATGTTCTAGTTTAAAAAATTCTTTTATTGGTGAGAGGAAGAGAGAGAGAGAGAGATTTGTTTTTCCACTTATTTATGCATTCATTGGTTGACTCTTGCGTGTGCCCTGACTGGGGATTGAACTTAAAACCTTGTAGCAGGATGACGCTCTAACCAACCGAGCCACCCGGCCAGGGCATATATTTTCTAGTTTTATGCCATAGTTACCCGTGAGAGTTCACTGTGGCTGTTTTCTACCAGTCACAGATGAAGTGGATTTCATTTCTCATTGGCTGATTTATTTAACAAATATTTGAGTGCTTACCAAGTAGGAGATAGAGCAAGGATGTGGCTTTGTTTTGTTCCAAAATAGAAATGTTTGGTGGTTTTCTAATTATAAGATATGTGCTTGTTCAGAAAATACAGAAAAGCATAGACACCTGTAATACCACAACTCTGTTGACTCTTGATCACTTCCTGGTATATCCCTTTAGATTGTTTTTTTGTTGTTATTGCTGATCTATGTCTTGTTATGTTTTTACCCCAAATGCTATCATATGCTGTACTCTTGTGTTAATAACTATTTTCGGTTAATACAGTGTAGACATCTTTCCAAGGCAGTGAATTTTTCTGTATAATTTGTATCATTTCAATAGGTGCCTTGTATTCAATAATGTGTATGTACCACAGTTACAGCGATCATTACTCTTTCATTGAACATCCAGGTTTCCTTTCTGTTTTCTAAACAATACATAGATGGTCATTCTTACATGTATCTTTGTATTCGTGTTTAGTAAGGGGAGAAACAAGGTCTCTGATTACTGCATTCCCGGGAATTAACACTGCACACAGTAGGTATGTGATATAATAATATTTGAGTGAATGAATGGCTTGGTTATTTTCATAGGATT